GTCGTGCTAAACATGTTCCGAACCATGTCGAAGGTTAGTTCCTCTTAACGAGAACAGCGACAATGTTTTGCTTCCAAGCATAAGTTTCGAATTTCAGTGCTTTTTTAGAAGCTTCGTACTGAAGCTCAATCTTCTAAATAGAACGTTTTCGAACGACATCTTTAGATATGATCTGAACGATCGAAGTTCAGAACAGAGGATCGAATCGTAGATCGATCCATTCATGATGAACTTCATCCGATAAGCATTTCATGCACAAATAAAGAAAATTTTAGCAAGCAGATGCCCCACAAAACGAAAAGACAAATCCACTCGTTAAGTGTCATTAACCGGCGTTGGACAAAGGAGCGGAGTGGGCCATCGTTCGATGATGATGTACACACAGTGGAAATCAGTGATGTACCGACTGCACATGCTAGCGACGAGGACAGTCTCATCATGGAGAGTAGCGATGAAGAGACAGATCGCTCGTATTTTAAACAAAATTTGCAGATTGGTGACATAGTTGATCTTTTCCAACTGTGCAAGTCACAGGCTAACAAGAAAGATATCAGTGTTCTTCTGTACATGGTTCTGCGACATTTTGGAATATTATACGATGAAACGGATCATTTTCTCAAAAAAATTGGTGGTTTATCGGGTCAAGTTGCCCATAAATGGGCAACAGTGTTTATTACAGAAACGTTTGATAAATATTGTGACGAGGGGAGAGGAGGGAAAAGAAGCGATGCTTTCTACGACGTCTACCCAGACATTGAAGCGGAAGCAAAAATATTTGCAGTAGGCCAATGTCAGCAAAAGGCTGCTAGCTTCACCATCTGCGATCTCGCACAATTTATAAACACGAAGTATTGTCAAATCAATGGCCTTGTTGACGATGCATCTGATCTCGTTAGATCAGTAGAAAGTTGTAGGTTGGATCTTCGAAAGTGGGGTGCGCGATTTGAACCCAACACCAAGCGACCCTATTTCGAGGGTCATGATCGAGCGGACGTAGTCGCTCATCGAAATCAATTTGTTGATTACCTATTGAACCACAAGGATAAATATTATACAGTCACTTCAGGCGACGATCCGCGATGGACAGCACCTCGGGCACGGACACGCAAGATTCTAATTTGTAACATACGTCTCCCTATGAATCCTATTTAAAGTAATTCCTTTGTCTTTTTTAGGTCATGACGAATCAACTTTTCGTACCGGTGAAGTTCGCGCTAAACGTTGGGTGATGGACAAGTCGGCACCTTTTTACAGCAAAGGAAACGGGAGGAGCGTGATGGTGTCCGACTTCCTAGTACAGCATCCGTCATCACCATTCTTTCGACTAAACCAGCAAGAATGGAACAATGCAATACGGCAATATCCCGAACTGACCGATGACGATGGTCTTCGATACGAGATGAATTCTGCAACAGTCACAGCGCATTTAGGCGTTGATCCTTATTTCGACAATGAAACTATTCTTTGCCAGTTCGAACGTTTGTTCAAGTTACTGAAGTTTAAGGAGGAATATTGCAATCATGATATTGAAGTGTTAGTGGATAACGCGCGCACGCACACAACCAAGCCGTTTAGCATCAACGACTTTGGAAAAGGAATTGGGACTCGATGTCCAGTCTCATCAATCATGTATATAGACGAGAACAATAACAAGAAAATCGTCGATTGCTATTTTCGATCAGGACCACACGGTGGCCAGAGTAAAGGACTGCTAGCTATCGCCTCGGAGTTGGGACTCAACGTGTCATCTGATTGTAAACTTGAAACACTGAAATCTATACTGTCAAATCATCGAGCATTCCAAAATGTAAGCTTCACTAATGCACATTTCTCAACGAAGACGTTTATTTTTGCTTCTCGTAGGTTTCTAAGCTTGAGCAGCTAGCTATCGATTACGGCTTCAAAGTTTTATTCATACCTAAATTTCACTGTGAATTGAACCCTATAGAAGGTTTCTGGTGTCACCAGAAAGCATACGTGCGAAAGTACTCTGATCAAACATTTACTACCATGACACGACTTATCACCCAATCTAGAGATGACTTTGTTGAGAAAAAGATCTCTCTCAAATTATTTCGTCGATTCTGGAAGGCCGTCCAAGCATATGCTCAAGATCAGAGTTACGCTGATGTTTTGAAATTGTTTTTCAGTAGTCTGTGCACTGACACCGCTGTTTCACACCGTAGAATAACAAACTCGAACTTATATGTTGTGTGAATTGCTTCTCGCTGCGCCAGAACATGTTTTCATATTTACTTTTTTCCCATGCATTTCTAGGAAAATGTAGCGTACCTTCGCCGTGAAAATAAATGCAGGGTATTAGATCTTTAGTCTATCATCACAAGTATTCAATTGCCTAAACAGTGATTTTCGCTGTTCTCGTTAAGAGGAACTAACCTTCGACATGGTTCGGAACATGTTTAGCACGACTAGAAGACATCTCAGAAGCATATCTGACAGTGTAGTAGCTGTTACAAACTGGTAGATATCGTTTGGTCATGTGCACTTAGTTAAAAATGCTTGCGGATAAGAAAAAATCACCTTTCTCCAAGGTCGATGATTTATACAAGGACTGGGCTTACGACGAATCTATCTCAAGTTGAAGGCTTTGCGACGAAGTGAAATCAGTCACTGAATCGACAATTTTCTCTTTCACCAGGAAATCGTCAGAGAAAAATTTCATCCCATCGATCTGAAAACCATCCCATTCGATGCAGCTTGAAAAACTGCGTCGCGTGGATACCTTTTGTCCCTTAGAAAAAAGTTTAAACAGGTCGCGAAAAGTCGATTTTTCCGTGAAAAGTTAGCTACTTTTTAGTAAAAAAAAAGGTGAAACAGACAATCTTGCCAGATTTTTTTCTCAACGAAGGCAGCTTAGAAAAAAAATCAAAATAGGCAGTTTTGTAGAGCGTGATAAGCTCTATCCAACCACGTAATAAAATCAACAAAAAAAAATTTTACTTGATTTTTGAATTGGGTGAACCTTACATGACAAAGAAGGGGTCGTTAAACTGCAGTTGTACCCTTGGTTTCTTTCCTGAATTAACTAAATGGATTATACAAGGTTATCGTCGTCTACAAACAAATAATGCGATTGGAATGATACAAACACAGAATATAATACAAGACCAGCACATACACATTGTAACGAAATATTTGGTTAGACTAGATACCCTTTCTTGTCAAATGATGATAAGAAAGATTATTGTATAAAGAAATTGATATAACGTTACGGGTTCAATGAAATTTATTTGAATCAATTCAAGGAGGCAAATATTAAATCATCAAATAGAATACATACAATAACTAATATAATGAAAACACACGTATAAGAAATACAATAATATCAATAAGATAAAAGATGAATTGTAAAGATATAATCTGGTTCTGAGAATACAAATCTCTAAGATACACTATGAGAATGTTCTTAGCACGACTGATTCACAAGTGTATCCTTATTCAACTGAACTTATACTCACTGTCTCAAATCAAACTCGCTCTATCTCTCTATCTGTCGTTCATTTCCTTCCCGAAGATGAGAGCACAAGGTTGAACGAGATTAAACATATCAGATAAAACAATTCTGGTCTATTTCAATATCGTCCTTGGATCCATCTATTCATCTTCTTTGTGATAACAGTTTTTAATCATTAGATGAGCATCTGACACTTGTCTGCTCTTGTTCTGATGTAATAATACATAACCCATTCGAACACATTAAATATGCATGAACTCCTCTTCATTTGTTTCAATCTAGCTCAAGGCTAAAATACATATAGAGGCGTTGTAATGACAAACTGGTTGAGTAGTTGACCGCTTCTCACGGTATAGATGTTTATTGACTACTCTACATGACCAGAATGTATCTCTTTCACAATAAGACACGCGCTTATATAGAGAAGAGGAAAGAGAGATATGACCCGGAGATAGTATGATATAGAGGTGAGAGGATAAAGAACAGAAAGAGATGAACTATATCATTATCGTTACAGGCGTGTAGATGTGTGAATAGAAAACGATGATTAATACATTTCCCTAATAAGTGGACACATTATATTGTGAATCCCTAGCATAGCTATTGACATACATATCTCTCTGATCAGTGGGAACGTCATCTTGTGAGTGTCTAACCTATAATCTGTTGGTACATGGATGTTTAATGCCAAGTGGGTTTTAGTATAATAAATTTTTATAACTGTTTGGGTTTCAAAGGGTTTCGTATAATACTCATTACATTCTATTGATTTTAAAAACATTTGGATCAAATTCTTAATCAAAAGATTTCGTCTCTATCTAATGTAAGAAAGTAACTGTCACTTATAGCGGAAGGTATTTTTATATATAGATTTCCCGGTAAGATTTCAAATGCAAGTAATGCGCATCTCCAATTCTAGCAAATGACTTTAAAGCAGATTTACCTTTTCTCAAAGGAGAATATAAACATCCCGTCTCGAATAATCCAAAATCAGATATTGTATCATCGAACATATTTTTATATTGGTAGGCTAATCGATTTGCTGTTTGATGTCCATCATCTACGAAGACTTTCGAGCATGTTACTGGATTACACCGTCTCGTGAACTGCTGGTATTGAGTTCAAAAGCCAACAAAAGACTAATGTTTTACTCGCTTAATATTTAACCAACTCATCCGGAAAAGATAGACGGTAAAATTCGAAATTATACCATATGAATATCTTATCTTACTTGCTACAATTATTGTTGATCTCATCAATAGATGGCTTGCTTTCTCTTTCTCGAATGCTTGTTGTCTTGAATGAAAGGCGCTCATATAGTCATCAAATGAAACGGTATTTTTGACAAGATGCTGCTCGAAGTCAAGCAACAAGTTTTAGCGGAATACGTGATTTTTGCTTAAGTAAATGAAGCACTCGTTTTCAATTGATTCACTCGTGATGAATTTCATTTTATTTGTTATATAAAAATTCGGAAAGATTTCGACATCACAATCATGACAAAATCAGGTACTAATGACTATTGAAAAGCACAAAAACTTTCAAGTAATCTATGAGCAGTAAGGAATTACAATATGTGTGCTTTGTAATTCTGATTTAACGAAAGGACTGTCTTTGGACGGTGATTATGCAAGAGTGACTATAATGTCAAATTGTTTGAGGGTATATTGAATGTTCAATCATTGCAAAATCTCAATTCTGAGGTAGAACAATGATCTACAATGAAAACAAAACAATCAATCCCAGGTGTGTTCAAATATAATTGTTGATACAGTTTCGAATAAAAGTAACAAACGTAAACGAAGATTATTGTGAATATCATTAATTATACACGTAAATTTTATATTTTCAAATTAATTGGTTAATGAAAAGAAGCTTGTTTTTTTAGATAATTTATATTCCACTGATTCCGACCGTTTAAATCACGATTGTACAGCCTACTGGTGTATTTATTGGTTCTTATCTAATAGAGAATAACAAATGGATGATTGTAGGTAAAGACTGTTTATTCTTAAGTAATCGAGAGAAAAGTTTGAAAATGTAAATATTAATTCCATATTGATCAGTGAAATTCGTCACTGAACTATTCATACTCCAATGCAGAATTTCATTTGATACTTTTTTGTATGAATTTGAATAGACGCTCGAATAAACCGATATAACTTTCTTTACATTTTCTCTTGATAACATCATTTTGTTTATTTCGTATAAGTCACGTACTCACAAATTAAAAGTACCCAAAACGGATGTGACGCATCGTAATATAGTCATAAATCATATAGTTTAGGCAAAACAAATCCGCATTAATGTCCTTTCTAATTAAGAATCTATATGTACAACACTCACCTTTGTAAAAAAAAAAAAGAAACATGATATTTTAGCAGACGATATCGAAAATCATATCTTCCTTTAAATTACACATTAAATATAAAACTCAGACGAAGCAACAAAACATAAACTAGAAAGATGGTAACAAGTATTCGATCTTCTTCTCTATGGTACAAAATATTTTTTCAGTTGATTATTTGTATTATTCTTCTTTGTTATGTATATTAGGTCCAAATGGTATTCTTATTTCATTCCTACGACATTCATCAGTATTGGATTAGTTGTAATTGCAAGTGTTATTGTACTTTCACTTCTTCCTTTATATATCCCAACGAAAAATTTGTCAGTTGAAGGTAAATTTGCACAAACACATATTGCAATTCGATTCATTTGATTAAAATCATCTAAAGATTCATATAGTTCATTAATTAATCTCAATTACAATATACCACGATCTCTTGTACCTGAATTGAGTGGAAATACGATGGTCTTACGTACGGGTAATTTAACCGATGATCGAATAAAAATCTTTGAAAATATTGTAAGTTAATTCTTAAAATGAAGAACACAAATCTCATGAGAAATTTTTGAATTGCTCCATTTTAGTTACAAAATAAATTATCTTCAAATAAAAATTTTCAAAAGCTNAATATGGAATTAATATTTACATTTTCAAACTTTTCTCTCGATTACTTAAGAATAAACAGTCTTTACCTACAATATTGTAAGTTAATTATTAAAATGAAGAACACAAATCTCATGAGAAATTTTTGAATTGTTCTATTTTAGTTACAAAATAAATTATCTTCAAATAAAAATTTTCAAAAACTTCGTATTAATGTTAATCAAGTTAATATTCAATCGATGACAAATAATCGTCGTCGTCGTGCAGCTGATCAACATTCTTCAAAAGCAAATAATATTATTATCTATCAACAATCAGAGATGAATTCAACAGAATTTGATCAATTACAAATATTCTTTCGATTGATTCGTCATGAACATTTAACAAAAAGTTTCATTTCAAATGTTCTTATCAATATTTTTAATCAAATTGAATTTAATGTAACAACATGTGAGTACTTCATTTGATTATTTCAATTTAATTAACAATTCAATTTTTTGAATAGTTCTCGCATTATTTGGTGAAGATTCAACTATCGTAAGTACACATTTTCCTATAAAAATCAAATAATAACGAATCTCGGCAAATAAATTATTTGTCGAATATTAAAATTTACATTTGAGAAAATATTTCTTGTTATGTAGAGTTTATCATCACGTACAATTAGTTCTCATGTGAAAGATAATGAAATCATCAAATATAATGATGTTCGTGTCTTTGGTATGAAAGATTATACAGGAAATATTCAAAATATTTATGCAATTCAAACAAATAATACAATTTATCGAATTAATAATGGTCAAATTGTTCAAATACGATCTTTAAATGAAACATTGCTTTTTAATTATGATAATAATAATAATCAATATAAGATTTTACTTGTTTTAAAAAATAATTCTTATGAAATATCAAAGACTTATAACAAAGTGAAAATAACATTTCCATCACCAATATTTAATTATCCTCAAAATGAAACTGTACCAAAAATATTCACAGGAATTCTTCTTGAATTAAATAATAAAATAAATAGTCGAACAATCGATGATGCAACTTTAGTTTTGAATTATTTCGATGTTAATCAAAATGAAAAAAGTGATGTGATGTTAACAATGAATGGTGGAAGATATTTTCTTCCATTACCAATTAATGATAATTTATTTGAAAAATATTTTAATTCAAATAAATTCTTGACAACAATAACTGAACAAAGTGATGCATATTTACAATTATTTCAATCTTATCCAATTGTTGATATTTGTTCACAAGTTCCCGATATTTCCAAATCATTTTGTTCAATTCTTATTCAAGAAATGACTGTGACAATACCTGAAACTCTTCGTTTTGCATCAAAAAATATTTTGAAATTTCATCTTAAATCTCAATCATTTGGTCAAATGACAAATTTCACAGTAACTGCTTTTGTTCCCGGTCAACAATCACTAACAATACCATTGAATTCATCTAATATTATTAATGGTAAATCAACAGCAAGAAATGCAATTATTATCGATCCAAATCAATTAAATACAATTTCTATTCAAATTATTGGTACTCGTGGTCAATGTAATGAACAAACAGTCGCTGGAAATGATATTCCCGATAATCGAATTATTGAAATTGGTAAATCACATACAACAGTAACATTTTCTTATGAAACATATATAATTAAAGATCAAATTGAAGTTTATCATATGAATAAACAAATCTTTTCAACTGGATGTGTTGGTGCAAATGGAAAAAGTTCATTTGATTTAGATGGTGATGAAAGTACATTGAGAGTAAATGTTATTCCAGATTGTGCAGGTGAAACGGGAACTGCGTGGTATTATTCATTTCAATGTACAAATCAATTGATTTGTGAAGAAAATTATTGTTATTGTGGATTAAATCATCAAAATTCTCAACAAAGCAAATCTCCTCAAACAAATGGATGTGGAGGAGAAGGATTAGCGTTAAATTTTATTATTAATCCTTTAGGAGATTTATGGGGATTTACACCTGCTTGTAATGGTCATGATGAATGTTATGGAACATGTAATAATCATAGAGATATTTGTGATATGAATTTTCAAGCAAATATGATTTCGATTTGCTTAAAATTTCTTCCTTTTCCTCCTTTATTTCTTAATTGTCAAGGTTGGGCTGAAGTATTTTATCTCGCCGTACATTTTGTTGGAGCTAATTTCTTTATTCCTGCTCAAGAACAAAATTGCAATTGTCTCTGAAAACAACAAAAACGTTACACATTAGAAACTTACGAACTTTTCCCTTCGTCAATATTCATTGAATGAAATATTCTATTAAAAATATGTTACATCATCAAAATGAGTCTCAGATAGTTTTTTGTAAGTCATCTCAAAAATTGGTTCATGAATTTCATTTGTTCGATGATAATGAATTCTCGTTGTTACATACGGAAGGAGATTTTCATAAGCATTTAACAGATTTCTACAAGATTTGTTCCGTTCGATAATCAAATTGGAATTGTCTTCATTTTGAGCCCATTTCAAAGTGATTTGAATATATTTTGTCATTGCTTGTTGATAATTATTTTCATTGAATTGTTTTCCTTTTTGATCTTGACGAAATATTTCGATCATTTGTTGATCTTCATCAGTTGGTAAGAAATATCGAAAATTGACGTGTTTTCCTTGTAATCGTTGTGGAATATTCATTGGATCGATATATTTCGTTAAATCTGATTCTTTACGGAGAAATTTGATTGTATTTTCCACATCTGAATCCAACCAAGGACAAATCATTGACCAACAACTACTGAAAATCCACGATGCATTGACAATAAGACCAAGACCAAGAGATTCTGGATAATAATTTTGAAATAAATTGAGAAAATTTCTCACTAATTGAAAATCGATATTTCTCATGTTTAATCCATTGACGTCAATCACAACAGTAAATGTTTCGACAGGAGATTTTAA